CAACATTAGGGTTTGTATGTTGTTGCACTTAATGTAAGAAGAGCCACGACACCTTTAGGGTTTATATGTTTTTGCACTTAATGTAAGAAGAGCCACGACACCTTTAGGGTTTGTATGTTGTTACACTTAATGTAAGAAGAGGCATGGCGCCTTTAGGGTTTATATGTTGTTGCACTAAATGTAAGAAGAGCACCGACACCTTTAGGGTTTTTATGTTCTTGCACTTCATGTAAGAAGAGCCACGACACCTTTAGGGTTTGTATGTTGTTACACTTAATGTAAGAAGAGGCATGGCGCCTTTAGGGTTTATATGTTGCTGCAGTTAATGTAAGAAGGGCCAGGACACGTTTAGGGTTTATTTGTTGCTGCACTTGATGTAAGAAGAGCCACGACACCTTTAGGGTTTATGTTTTTGCACTTAATGTAAGAAGAGCCACGGCGCCTTTAGGGTTTATATGTTGTTGTACTTAATGTAAGAAGAGCCACGACACCTTTAGAGTTTTTTATGTCTTTGCACTTAATGTAAGAAGGGCTGCGACACCTTTAGGGTTTGTATGTTGTTGCACTTAATGTAAGAAGGGCCACGACACCTTTAGGGTTTATATGTTGTTACACTTAATGTAAGAAGAGCCACGACACCTTTAGGGTTTATTTGTTGTTACACTGAATGCAAGAAGAGCCACGACACCTTTAGGGTTTATATGTTGTTGCACTTGATGTAAGAAGAGAACCGACACCTTTGGGGTTTGTATGTTGTTACACTTAATGCAAGAAGAGCCACGACACCTTGAGGGGTTATATGTTATATGTTCTTGCACTTGATCTAAGAAGAGCCACGACACCTGTAGGGTTTGTATGTTGTTACACTTAGTGTAAGAGGAGCCACGGCGCCTTGAGGGTTTATATGTTGTTGCACTTAATGTAAGAAAAGCCACGGCACCTTTAGGGTGCAGATGTTCTTGCACTTGATGTAAGAAGAGCCACAGAACTTTTGGGGTTTGTATGTTGTTGCATTCAATCTAACAATGAACTCAACGAGACACGAAGAGCACAATTGCTTTTAGATACGCCGTGAAAAGTTAAGGCATCACAGAATGAAGTGAACGAGACACGCCCTGCACAGTTGCACTGTGGCACGCCGTAATACTTCCCGGCTCTTGCGCTGAGCCCTACACGGTGGCGATGTATCCACTTTACGCCCCAAGCGAGACCAAATTTACGCCCCAAGCGAAACCAAATTTACGCCCCAAGCGAGCCAAAAATTACGCCCTAAGCGAAACCCCGCCCGGCAGCTTCCTGGAGATGCTTCTCAGGCGGTGCTCGCTCAGGGCCTCTGAGTCTGAGTCTGAGGTACCAGCTGCCTCCACTCGCATCGGTGCCCCGCAATCTGATGGGAAAGTCATGTGATTTGAGGCACATACTTGTGTGGTTCCTGATGATAATCGTCAGAATTGAGGCCCAGTGCTTTTGAAGCGGAGGGCTGCCAGCCACAACCCACCGCCTTGCCATCTCTGTTGAGCAAATGGATGTTCATAAGCCCCGTGGAACGGTTGCCTTTTGATGCACTTGCCACACGGAGGGAGTCACCCTGCGAAGTGGTTTCTGGTAGATGTGGGGGTCAATTGACTTTCTGCCAACTCCCCGCGGATGGATCTGGTGACGCTGCTTGTTTCTCTGCCAGGGCCTGACGCCTGGACTTGAATGGTGGGGAGCTGGGCTTCTCAGGACTACTCTGTGGGGCTGATGGATCCAGTTCAAGCACATCTGGGTTCTTGCCCCCCGTAAGGTCTAGTTTGCCCAGCTTGTCAGCAGCTGCTGTCCAGGATCTTTGGACGACCTTCCTCTTCTCCCTGGTGTAGATATCAGCTGTGCTCTCCGTGGTTGAACTAGCCTTCCGCTTGCCAATTTCCAGCTTAATGGGCTTCTTATACTTCGGATCCATCGGTGTATCCTAGGGGAACCATTTGGCTCTCTCTACCATCCTCCTAACCCGGACTCTGCCTGAATCTTTGCCCTCTTTCTTCTTTTGCTTCTTCTTCTGCTTCTTAGGGCGGTCCCCAGAAGGAGGCGTGGCTGGTTCCCCTCCTAACGCTGGTTCAGAAGGAGGGGCAGGGGCAGGTTCAGCTGCAGTTGCCTCACCTATCTCAGGAGGTGGGGTGTCTGAAGGTGATGGGACCCCGGACGTTGGTACCCTTTGACCCTCCTTTGCCTTTTCCTTTCCGAGCGTTCCAGGACGATTGATACCCTTGTTGTTCTTCTTTTTCTTGGCACGCTCCTTTCCCCTGTCCTGGCTTTGGCTCTTGCTTCTACGCCTCCTGGACCTGTCCTAGGAGGAGGCTCGTCACTCACTCCTCGGTTGGTTGACCCGGGATGCTCCCTTCTCTTGCATCTCGAGCATTCCCTTCCACAAGGGGAATTTGATACATACCCGCTCCTCCGTTGAACGAAGTTGAGGAGGAGCAGGAGGTAAGGAGACAGGGGCACCCTTCTCCTTTCCCTCTTTTCTAGGCTTAGAAGGCTCCTTGGCCAGTGACCCTCCTTTAGGTGAGGAGGGTGGAGAGTGGTCGCGTGTTTTACGGCGACGAGGCTCCTCCTCACGCTTTAAAGCGGGAGAAGCCTCAATTAATATGCGGGAGGTAAGAGTTCCAAGAACTTGAGACAGTTGGTCAACAGCCCAGGCAAAATCCTCCCTACCAAAATCCCGATTGCGACTGACCTGTCGGATGGACAGGCTCAGCCAGCAGAGTTGACAAACGCTGTCCCGCTCTGATTCCCAACGGTTGCATTGAGAACAGAGAGTGGACATAGAGCAAAGTCGTGCTGTTTCAGCAAAAGAGGCCGCGCCAACATCCGTTACATTACATCACATCACATCACATTACATTACATTATATATCATTACATTACATTACATTACACTACACTACACTACACTACACTACATTACATACATGGATGTGCATGTACATTTAGGTATGTGCTTATGTCTATGTCTACATCTATGCCGATGTCGATGTCTATGTATGTGTCTATGTATGTGTCTAAGATTATCAATATGTCTATGCAAAATGGATGTGTCTAAGCAAAATGCATGTGCATATGAATATGTCTGTGTCTACATCTGTCGGTCTGTCGGTCTGTCCGTTCGTCTGTATGTTTGTGTATACATATATATATATTATCGATTATCGATTGTATATAATTGTATGTGTATATGTATCATATATATATATGCATATTGTATGTGTATATGCATATGCATACGTATATGTATATGTACATATGTATATGTATATCTATATGTATCTGAATAGTGGAGGGAAAAGCCCCAAGGCCCCAAGGTATGGCAATCTTCACGGGGAAAGTGATGAGCAACGGATGGTTTGCTGCGTCCTTTTTCCGGCTGATCCGCCATCGTCTACAACGGATTGGCCCAAGTGATGACAGATAAGCTGATCACATGTATGGTCAGTAGGGTGAAGATATACTCCCAGTCTCGTTGTCAATCCTCAAGCCTCAAACCTTTCATCAAGGCTATTCATCGGAATCTTTCTCATCACCGGAGCGAGCGAAACGAACGGCACGCGAAGCATGGCAGTGACTGGGAAGGACGGAACGAGAACTTTCTTCCCTACACTTTGTGTCCTTCAAGACACTCCCCTTTCAATTGGAAAAACTCCGTTTGGATGGTGGAAGAAAATTGCAGTACTTCCTTCTGCTCGCTATTTCTCAGTCGGCGATGTCATCTTTGTTCATCCAAAAACAGCAAGCATGATATGCAGGATGCGAAAGTGATGGGAGCGGCTTGGAAACTCTCTCGCACGCCTGAAAGAGATCATTTAACGTTGGATCATAAAGAGTTGGTCCGCGTCAAGCAATGTCAAAATGTAAATTTGCTCTTGCTGAGTAAAAGCAGTTTCACGAGGGCCAGAAACTCAATAAATCTGTGATCAGCGCAACATCCACAAGAGTTATTTGCTCATTGACATTGTTGACCTTGAAGAACCAGCAGGGTGGCTCAGCCTTCAGGAAAAGTGCAAGATAAATGAACACATGTGAACAGTGCTCGGTTCCCTATCATCCATCCCCTTCTTGTATGTTTGAGGATGATTCTGCGGTTCCCATGTTGGATTAGCTCATCTATACCCCCATCAAGCACCAGTTTGGCACCGTCACCAGAAGCTTTGGAAAATCATATTCCTGGGCAAGCCTTGCAGAGAGCAGAGTGGCTGACCACCAATTTTTGGGTTCGCTGGGTCGGATCCACATGGTACCAATTCTTTCATTTTCTTGAGGTGTTGATAGGTGTTGTGTATTGTTGTGTTTTTTCCAATACGTTTTCCAGAGACCCAATGGCCTATGGAAGTCGGCCTTGCTCTGCCAACTCTCTGATTCTTCTGTGACTCAAGTTCGCCCGTGTTCGGGCTCTCTTCTGTGTCCAATGTTTGCCCGTGTTCGGGCTCTCTGATTCTTCTGTGACTCAAAGCTTGCCCGTGTTCGGGTTTTTGATAAAATTCTAAATGGAACAACGGTGGCAAAGCAGTCAAATCAACATTTTTGCTCTGCCAGTACCCCAGGTCTACCCCAGGTCCACCAGACCACCGCGGCGGTTCAAAAAGTTTTGGTGAAGCATCCGGGACCACGTTTTCGGGCAGTGCTGGTATGACAAAAACCAAAACGAGAAGGTGAAAAAGATCCAACTGGAGCAATTGGTTTCCCTTGGTTTCCCCAGTGTTTCTGACGTTTCTGACCTGCCCCCCCTAGCTGTTGGGCGCTGGCCAAAGGCCTTTCCTATCGAAGCCATGGCCTGCCTTCGGATGGAAACCAATCCGTGACGAAGACTTTTTCGCCACAACTGGCCCGATCCTCCTCGGACCATTGATTCTCTCGCCAGAGGGTCACACCCCCGACTTAAACCTCAGCAAATCCAGAAAGCTCAGGAAGTCGCAAACGGGGGTTGTCTTTCGACCAGCTACTGCAGCAAAGGTTCTTGTCAGCCCCTAAACACTGACAACTACTTGCTCGCCTCAGTTCAAAAAAAGTGGTTTCTGATCAAAACATCCATTGCGACGCACACACGGGACTTGTGAGCAGCAACAAAACTCCATCCAACCATACCTTGCCAAAATTGCATGGCTGAACTTTGAGACCCCAGCAGTGTTCGAGAATGTGGGACAAGTGTAAGCCAAATTCATCTATGCTGCCTACCTGAGCAAAGTTTTTTTCGATTTCTGGCGAAATGGCCCCTTCAGCCCTTCAGTCACTGAAAACTTCATGCCTTAAACAAAAGGATGTTTCACCATTTATAGTGGAAAACCACCATTTATAGTGGAAAATGTAACGACCAGAACCAGAAAATACTTTGACCGATGCAGCAGGCCACCCGGATGTCTTGCCAGCTTGACTCCTTCAACTCCATCCCTCGAAACGATGCTGACACACCTCATCAAAAAAGAAAGGACCCTTGCAATCCAGCTTGGTCCCGGAACGTGGGAAAAGTATCTAAAAAAAAATGCTGATAAACCAGTAACCAGTGGTTTTTGCATATTTTTCCCAAAATAATATGATTAACCAGTGGTTTTTGGACAAAGCCTGACAAAGCCATCTCTCAAGCCTGGCTATTGAGGAGATCATCACACCTACTGTTTAGAATCCCTGGTTTGAGGACATGAAAAAAATCTGGCAAATCCACTGGTTTATCATCACATTCCACGGTAAATGCCATTTCTGTCAAAACCCCATGGATTTCTAGGGTGGCCAAAGGCCAAGCCAAAAATCTTCCAAATGAGCACTTGAAAAAGAACGGTCTTTAACAACAAAAATCACACAATCATTTTGGAGTTTTGTCGGGATCTCATTTTGGGGTTCCTTGAAGAGGTTACTATGGACCAGAAAAGGAAAGTTTTGCGGGAACGTGCACTTGGAAACAATGTTCCACATCAATCACCACTGGTCCGAGTTAATGGTTCTTTGAATCACATCTTCACTGTTGTGTTGTAGCATGTATACATGTATGTATGTATGTATACATATATGTAATGTAATGTAATGCAATGTAATGTAATCTAATGCAATGCAATGAAATTATGTATGTATGTATGTATGTATATGTATGTATATGTATGTGTGTATGTGTGTATGTGTGTATGTGTGTATGTGTGTATGCGTGTATGTAGGTATGTATGTCTGTATGTCTGCATGTCTGTATGTCTGCATGTCTGTATGTATGACTGTATGCCTGTATGTCTGTATGTCTGTATGTTTGTATGTTTGTCTGTTGTATGTCTGTATGTATCTATGTCTGTATGTCTGTATGTATGTTTGTATGTCTGTATGTCTGTCTGTCTGTATGTGTGTGTAACATCTAAATAGATGTAAAACTTCTTTCTTTTTCTTCCTTCTGTCCTCTCCCTTTTTAAATCCAGTGAAAGGGTTTTAAATCTAGTGCAGGGGGACGTGGCATACAATCAGGGACCACGTCCAACGAAGCTACCTGATTGTATGGGATACAGAGCCTGATCAGCTCTGCGTACCTGCAGCTCGAATTTTCCGGAAAGCAAGGGGCCAAGCTTAGAACCCCAAACACTATGGTTTTATTTCTTCACGGTTGCCACCATCGTTTTCGTGAAGTACCTCAAGGGGCTCTACTGTAAATCTAACGATCTAGGCTGGTTTGCACGTTTCAGGATTCAGTTCCTGCCGGATCATATAATGATCCTTTCTAATCTAGTGTGATTCCTATGGTGACTCCGACATGGTGCCATAGGGCCAATTGAGGCAACCCCAGTTGGGGTCAATGTCGACTGACTTGAATTCCGAATTCACACATTTTAATATGGTAATTCGCTTAAGTAAAGTGAAACTGTCGGCCTTACTGTTATCCACCGTTTTCGAAGAGTCTCGCTGCTCCTGTAGTCCCAGGGTTTTCTCGCCGTGATTCCTGTCTGCCAGAGTGAAGCCGTTCGAAACAATCAGAAACTCTGTTTTTTACTGCAGCTTCAGCTTTTGAACATTTGTTGCAACAGAAAGGCAGGCACACGACTTTCAGGTGTGGTCTTTTTTCTTTTGATGGTTGTCTGGTGAGGTTAAACATTTTGTGCGCCTAATTCGTTGGAACTTGAAAGCCGTTTTATGCCCTTGTGGCGGACTTGAACACGGGCCTGGAATTGGCACAACGCACGACTTCTAGGTTTTAGGAGCTGATTCCTGTTGTTTTACTACTTGTTTTGGTTTTCCTGCCTGTCATCAACTAGTCCCCCATTTGGTCCCTAATTTCCCCGCGTGCCTCTCCGTAATGTGTCGTGGGGTTTAGGTGTGTGCGCTGTTTTGGTTAGGTCCGTTTCGCCGTGTAGGTTGGTTCCGGAGGTCCGTCTGTTCCCCTCCCCCCCCTGCGCTGTTTTTGGCCGTTTGCCCTTCGTGTGTCCGCTTTTTTCTTACTCTTGCCTTTCATAAATAGATGTAAAACTTCTTTCTTTTTCTTCCTTCTGTCCTCTCCCTTTTTAAATCTAGTGAAAGGGTTTTAAATCTAGTGCAGGGGGACGTGGCATACAATCAGGGACCACGTCCAACGAAGCTACCTGATTGTATGGGATACAGAGCCTGATCAGCTGTGTACCTGCAGCTCGAATTTTCCGGAATAGCAAGGGGCCAAGCTTAGAACCCCAAACACTATGGTTTTATTTCTTCACGGTTGCCACCATCGTTTTCGTGAAGTACCTCAAGGGGCTCTACTGTAAATCTAACGATCTAGGCTGGTTTGCACGTTTCAGGATTCAGTTCCTGCCGGATCATAAAATGATCCTTTCTAATCTAGTGTATGTGTGTATGTGTATGTGTGTATGTGTGTATGTGTGTATGTATGTATGTATGTATGTATGTATGTATGTCTGTATGTCTGTATGTCTGTATGTCTGTATGTCTGTATGTCTGTATGTCTGTATGTCTGTATGTCTGTATGTCTGTATGTCTGTATGTCTGTCTGTATGTCTGTATGTATGTCTGTATGTCTGTATGTCTGTATGTCTGTATGTCTGTATGCCTGTATGTCTGTATGTCTTTATGTCTGTATGTCTGTATGTCTGTATGTCTGTATGTCTGTATGTCTGTATGTCTGTATGTCTGTATGTGTGTATGTCTGTATGTGTCTATGTGTCTATGTGTCTATGTGTGTGTGTCTGTCTGCCTGCCTGCCTGCCTGCCTGCCTGTCTGTCTGTATGTATGTATGTATGGATGTATTTATGTATGTATGTATGTATGTATGTCTGTATGTCTGTATGTCTGTATGTCTGTATGTCTGTATGTCTGTATGTCTGTATGTCTGTCTGTAAGGCTGTAAGTCTGTATGTCTGTCTGTTTGTCTGTATGTCTGTATGTCTGTATGTCTGTAGGTCTGTAGGTACGTAGGTACGTAGGTACGTAGGTACTTAGGTACGTAGGTACGTAGGTACGTAGGTACGTAGGTACGTAGGTGCGTAGGTGCGTAGGTACGTAGGTGCGTAGGTGCGTAGGTGCGTAGGTGCGTAGGTACGTAGGTACGTAGGTACTTAGGTACGTAGGTACGTAGGTACGTAGGTACGTAGGTACGTAGGTACGTAGGTACGTAGGTACGTAGGTACGTAGGTACGTAGGTACGTAGGTACGTAGGTATGTAGGTATGTAGGTATGTACGTAGGTACGTACGTACGTACGTACGTACGTATGTATGTATGTGTACGTGTGTGTGTGTGTGTGTTTGTATGTGTGTATGTTTCTATGTGTGTATGTGTGTATCTTTGTATGTGTGTATGTGTATATATATATATATATGTACCACAGAATACAAAAGAGGATAAAGAAATGGCATAGCAGGAAGAAATATGTATCCAGCAGATCGAACAGCAGAATTTCCCATGATATTGACATATAGCCTACAACATGTAACATTTTGAATGCAGAACACCCCTCCACCTTCACAACATTTCACATAGAATACAAATGGTGTATGTATGATGGTGTATGTTGAATTTCACACATTTATTCTTACCAGTAATATGGAAGTGGGGCCCATAAAACATGCTCACCACACACAAGTTTCATGCTTGTCCCACGTTAAAGATTTTGGGACCTATGGTCCCCTCCAAAATTGTTAACATGGCAGTTTCGTGGGAAAATGATTTTTCCCGTACAAGTGTTCATGTTAACGATTTTGGGATCAATTTTCACCTTTAAAAATTGCAGAAAAAAATCTCCAAATCCCCAAAATTGGAACATGTTAATTCAGATCTTTCTAACATGCCATCCATGTTAATTATATAATGGAATTTGTCATCATTAACTTGGCTGATATAAATGTTGCAAATCACCGAATTGGTTCATGTTAGCATTCAAAAGCATGTTTGGGTGCTTTTCGTGCTTGACATGGAAGACTGCCCCTCAAAAAATGCACCCTTAACACGGAACCTCAGAAGTTTTTTGTTCTTCTATGTATATAATTCATTAGGGGAGTATAGCATATTGTTGGTTATGTCCCATTCCAAATAGAATGATTTGTGATTATCCCATTTTATTGGTTTGTATCCCATTATAGCCAAATTATTCATCCCGTAAATCAACCGAAAATTGACCAAGCTTTGCAACCCAACAGCAGGTTGCAGGGTGCCCTTGTTCTGGACATATTCAAGGTCGGAGAATTCCCCCCTTAAACATTGGGGTTCCATGTGAAATTACTCGGGCTGTGCCAGGTGTACCTATGATTTTCCCACAATTTTCTGCCTGAATCGCTTGAGCCCCGGCGATCCAACGAAGTCTGTGCTCGATCAACGGGATCGTCACCATCTTGGAGACACAGCTTTGGAAAGCCAACTCGCAAGGGTGCGAGTTGTAACATTCGCAAAAAAAATGAAAGAGTCATTTAACACTAGCTTAGCAGGATGTTATTTTGTTCGTCTTTTGGGCTTGCTACGCTCCTCATTTGACTATCTCTCAGTGCAATATGTGACTTTCAGCAGTAAATTTTACCCAGCTTTGCAACCCAACAGCAAGGCTGCAAGTTTTAGGGGTTTCGGTTCCGTTCCGGTTTTCAGGGCTGACAAGAAACGGCACACCACTCCCAGACCCAGAGATTGAAACCCAGCAGGCACTGCTGTTGTGAACTTGGGATTCAACCAAGCAATTGCTTGAACATATATCAACCCCTATATCACAATACAAAAGCAAACATCCTAGTAGAATATAGTAGAATAGTGCTAAGTTTCACCTTTTCCACTGGGCTTAACCTTTTCCAATTTCAATATTCTCTATCATCTCAAAATGGGAATAACTTGGTCCTTGCTCTTGCCAAGCAACCTCCGCGGACTCCCTGGTATTGAAGTGATGGTACTTTACGAATCTTGACCTCCCATTCCTGGGGATCTCGGGACGGGGAACATCCTGAGACCTGGATGGAGGCTCTGGTTGTAGTGTTTCTTGTTGATAGAGTGTTTCTGGAGGGCAAGATCTATCCCACCATGGCACCAGCCTAGACTCCGAGAGACTCCTAGACGCCGCTCTCCAGTCTCACCATTCATCAACATTTTCCCAGTCATGATCCACAATTAGGACTTTTTTGCACCAACAAGCCAGGGGACCCAGGGGACACCCAGGGACACCCAGGGGACCCCAAAACCCAGGATTCTTGGACCAAGAATCAATCCCCTGCGCCTGGTTTTCGGCTTCTTGTCGCGCTTTCTGTGGTTCCAATGCCTGAACTGCTACCCAAATTTTCTCCTGTCGAGAGGATTTGCAGGTTAACCTCCAAACCTCGGGATGTCCAAATTTTCCCGGCCTGATATTAAAAAAAACGAAATCTGGAACTCTGCATACCAAGAATGACCACAACTTCGGGATGCCTGACACGTTCAGACCTCATTGAATTTGCGCCTGTGTGTCTCCCTTGAATCTCTTTACTATACACACTCCTTGCGCTTTGTCAAGAACTGGGGCTCTCGTAAATGCCATAGCCCCAGCTGCTTTCAAAGTGCATATTGCTGTAGGTCACGGGTCACAGCCGAACTTCATCGCGAAAAGAAAAAAAACTGTGAATCCCCCAACGTGGAGCAATTCTCGGTCCTGTGAGATCAAACCAGACCCAAAGGCATCGGCAACGGTCTGTTGTTCCCCGGACTGAAAGATCTTGGGGGCATTATCTTGGAACAAGGCATCATACCCGCTCCTTAGTGCAAAAGATTCCAGTTGTCCAGGTTTGTCTGACGTCTGATGGGGCACTGGACGCATCATTTTTTACACTCAAATTGCTGGTTTTGGGGCACCCCCCATGGACCAATCCAGATGATGGAATCTGCTGACAGCTGGCACGGAAAGGAGGCACCAAAAATTTGGCAACTTGCAGGAAACCGCTGGGTTGATTTACGTGAAACCAGCGTTTCAAGTTTCAAATCGTACAGGCACCGTCCAATTGTGTTTCTCATAATGGCACACTTCCTCACTGCGCATGATGCTGCGTGGATGCAATTCTGTCTGTCCCATTCCCATTCGCCATTCCCCAGCCAGGGTACTTGGTCACATAGTAAGCAATGTTTGGAAGGAAACCTGGCGAAAACACGACCTTCTTGCATCGCCCAGGTCTAAAAAATATGCGTGTGTGTATGTATAAATATGTATATATATATAACATGAATGCTGAAATCTACATCTATATATGTACATATCTATGCAATGGTACGTTCATACCCATGCCTATATCAATGTATACATACATACATACATACATACATACATACATACATACATACATACATACAGACAGACAGACAGACAGACACACAGACTAACAGACTAACAGACATAACAGACATAACAGACATAACAGACATAACAGACATAACAGACATAACAGACATAACAGACATAACATACATAGCAGACATCACAGACATAACAGACATAACATACATAACATACATAACATGCATAACATACATAACATACACAACTTCAGTAACATACATAACATACATAACATACATAACATACATAACATACATAACATACATAACATACATAACATACATAACATACATAACATACATAGCATACATAGCATACATACCATACATACCATACATAACATACATAACATACATAACATACATAACATACATAACATACATTACATACATTACATACATTACATACATTACATACATTACATACATTACATACATTACATACTTTACATACTTTACATACTCTACACCTACATACATACATACATACATACCATACATACCATACATACCATACATACCATACATACCATACATACCATACATACCATACATACCATACATACCATACATACAATACATACCATACATACCATACATACCATACATACCATACATACCATACATACCATACATACCATACATACCATACATACCATACATACCATACATACCATACATACCATACATACCATACATACCATACATACCATACATACCCTACATACCCTACATACCCTACATACCCTACATACCCTACATACCCTACATACCCTACATACCATACATACCCTACATACATACCATACATACCATACATACCATACATACATACCATACATACCATACATACCATACATACCATACATACCATACATACCATACATACCATACATACCATACATACCATACATACCATACATCCCATACATACCATACATACCATACATACCATACATACCATACATACCATACATACCATACATACCATACATACCAAACATACCATACATACCATACATACCATACATACCATACATACCATACATACCATACATACCATACATACCATACATACCATACATACCATACATACCATACATACCATATATACCATACATACCATACATACCATACATACCATACATACCATACATACATACATACATACATACATACATACAATAATCCCATAACATACATACATACCATACTACCAACATACATACATACATACCATACCATACATTACCATACATACCACATAGCATACATACCATACCATACCATACATACCATACCATACCATACATACCATACCATACCATACATACCATACCATACCATACATACCATACCATACCATACATACCATACCATACCATACATACCATACATACCATACATTACCATACATACCATACATTACCATACATACCATACATTACCATACATACCATACATTACCATACATACCATACATTACCATACATACCATACATTACCATAATTACATACATACATACATAATACATACATACATTCAATTACCTACAATACATACATTAATTAATTTACATTACATTACATTAATTAATACATACATACATAATACACAAGACGGACAAGACGGACAGACTGACCCGACGGACAGCAGCCACGGACAGCAGACAGGACAGACATTACAGACATACAGACATAACAGCATACAGACAGAAAAGACATACATACATACTATATATATGTGGTGTGTGTGTGTGTCCGTTGTCTCGTCACGGGCCCCCACTACCCCCATGTATTGGGGGTTACCCCCCCGCCCCACCTGACCCAACCCACCCACCCACCCACCCACCCCCCACCACATCTACAGGGGGGGGAGAGATACATAGGCATATGTGTATACACATACATATACGTACTGTATACACAAACTACTAAACTATACACATACTACATGCTACATACGTATAACCCACCCACCCACCCACCCACCCCCCACCACATCTACAGGGGGGGGAGAGATACATAGGCATATGTGTATACACATACATATACGTACTGTATACACAAACTACTAAACTATACACATACTACATGCTACATACGTATACACACGCATGTATATATACATATATAGTAGACTCCGGATACTTAGAATATGCCCGATTTCAACCCTGCGGGTGTGGACAGAAAAAAAATACTTGGAATATTTGGGGTAGAAATATCTGGGGTAGAATTTTGGAGTGCATAAACAGTGCCAAAGCAAATACCGTAGGAATAACGATGTTCCCATATCGAAAACATGTGTGAAACCCAGCAGATTGCACATTTTTTGGGGTTTTGGGTAAGTGTTGGATCAGGATTGAGGAAAGAAATGGGTTTCCCAAATTGACCAGGTTTTGACTACATTTGACATTTAAGAAGGTAATTTGACTTGAACAAAAGGATACCCCCACGAATTGCCAAATTTAAGGCAATCATTGTACGGACAAATGCACCATGTGCATCCATATTCTATGTATATATTCCTGCAGCTGATAACTGATGGCAGCCCAAATAAACATCCAAGAAAAAAAAAACAGGGGAAGAGAAGTGAATGCCAGCGGATACCTGCATAAGAAAAACAATACGTCAATAACTTTTGGATCAGACTTGTGAAAAGAAAATGGGGTTCCCAAATTGACACGTTTTTGACTACACTTTATAGTAAAAGAATACAATTTGAAGTTCACAAAAGGGTCCCCCCCATGAGTCCCATGAGTTGCCAAATTTCAGGCAATCATTGCATTGACGAATCTATGATGTTCATCCATATTCTATGTATGGGTTTCTGCACCTGATAGCTGATGGCAGCCCAAACAAGCATCAAAAGAAAAAGAAAAGCAAGGGTAGGAACAGAAGAGAATACAAGCGAACAGCCTCTTTGCATTAAAAGAATTCGTATACAGTATACGACACCGGTCGTGGGGTGTACCCTTCGGTGAGCTTGAAAAAAAACATCTTTTAATACAATATAAACAGAAATTGATCATTTCGGGGGCCCTGGATTTTTTTGTTGAAACGTTCTAGTTTCGGAACTTCAGACATCCAGGGTTGCTACTCCCCAACGGGAATTACGTATATAGCATCATACCCTTATACATGGAAGAGACGCAATTCCTTTCAGAACTACATACATAGAATATAGGTCCCCAGTGAAAATATTCATCCATTTTTTGAGGAACACCACCTAATTCCATGGGTTGTCATTGCAAAATTGATTTTTTTCATAGTTCTCCGACACGGGTTGTGGGGGGTACCCTTCGGTGAGCTTGAAAAATTCATTATTTTTATACAATATAAACAGAAATTGATCATTTCGGGGGCCATGGATTTTTTTGTTGAAACGTTCTAGTTTCGGAACTTCAGACATCCAGGGTTGCTACTCCCCAACGGGAATTACGTATATAGCATTATACCCTTATACATGGAAGAGACCCAATTCCTTGCAGAACTACATACATAGAATATAGGCTATAGGTCACCAGTGGGAATATTCATCCATTTTTTGAGGAACAACACCTAATTCCATTGTTTTTCATTGCAAAATATTTTTTTTCATAGTTCCCCGACACCGGTCGTGGGGGGTACCTTTAGGTGAGCTTTAACAATTTTATGAAGGATTTCATGGTGTTTTGGTGGATTTTAAAGGGGTGAAAATCATCGTTGTCCCTTTGCGAAATTGATTTGAATCACAAGCGGCTGCAGCAATCCATGCTTCTGTCAAAAACCTGAGAAAATTTATTTCCCCGGATCAAAATGGATAGCCGGAAATATTCTATGTATAGGTTTTTTCCGATTCCGGAAAATGTTTTTATTCTATGTATAGCTTTTTAAACTGATTCCGGAAGGTGCTTTTTGAGGCCGAAATTATCGATTCTATATTCTAAGTATGTCAACTCTGTTTTATATGTATATATACACTTCTTACATATATATATATAATTTACATTTACATATAGGGACCATCACCATCTCGGGGGGAGGGGCGACCACGAAACACTGGGCCATATATATATATATAGATATAGATATTACACCTTTACGTAGACATATACATACACATAAACATACACACATACATAAAATACATATAATACTAATACATATACAGATACATATACATATATGGTCCCGTCCTCCGTCTCTCCACCCCCCCCTCCCCCCCCACTGGGTTGGGTCCCCAGGTAGCAGCCCCAATTCCCTTCTATTTGCAAGCTATTGGCAGCATTTCTGAGGTCCAGCTTCGTATTTGCTAGGTCTTTGCAGCATTTCTGACTACCAGCCTCGCATTTACTAGGTACATGCTACCTTTTAGGCGACCTACGTAGCACACATACTCCTTCAAAGTACCTACGTGCTACCTATAGTCATATATATACATGTGCTATGTATCTACTGTATCTACTTCCTATTTATTACCTGTGTACTCTGACAACACTACCTGTGTTTAACATATACCGTACCTACCATACGTGTCAATGATGCCATGCATACCATACCTATCATATCTATCATACATACCATACATACCATACATATGAAATGTAATTACCACACCTACCATACATACAATAGCCAACATACATGCCATACATACCATACCTACCTTACATAGGAAATATTCCATACCCATCATAGTAACCATACATACCATACAGACCATACATACTGTCATATCAAACATACCATACCCAACAGGCTTACATACCATACCTACCATCCATACAATACCAACCACTCATGCCATACATACCATACCTACCATACATACCAAACATACCATACTTTCCAAACATGCCATACCAGACCGACCATACACACCATACATACCCAACATACCATACCACACCCCCACCACACCACAGGGGGGGGGAGGGGGACAGTGCCACACCCCCATCACACCACAGGGGGTGGAGGGGGAAGATCTCATATGGGGCCAGTATATGGGACCCATCCCATGGGGGGGGTGGCAGGGCCTGGTGCATATATACAGAAACATATACATGCACATTTACACATACATATACACATACACATAAATATACAGATACATATACAGAAACACATACGTGTACGTATACATATACAGATACATTTATAATACTTACATATACAGGTACACATAGGTACAAGTATACATATACATATACATATACATATACATATACATAGACATACACATATACATATACATATACATGTACATATACAGATACATATACATATAGATATACACTTACACATACACGTACACATACATATATAATACATAATGCATAATACTTGTTTCTCTGCGGTTTCACAGCCCAAAACATGCCTTGACACACTGACAGCTCACACTAGGCAAAATTGGAACAGCAGCCATAGCAAAACCAACAGCGACGGCGACAAATCGAGAAGGAGGTTGAATGAATAGCTCACGTGGGCACTGAAGTGCGCCGACGTGCAATCAATGGATACGACCATGTTCTCAAAATCACATGTGTGTTCATGTTCCCGCAGGAATCTCAAAATGCACATGCATGTTTTGGGGACGTCTTTGGAAACCACGAACCAGTTCAACCTATCAAAATGACACTCCATGAACAAGTTGAGTTACATCATACTACATTAGAAATAATACATAATACAAAAGACATAATACATAATACATAATACATATACACATCCAATGTTCAAATACATATACATTTACATACACATACACATATACATATACAAATGCAAAAACATATACATATACATTGAAAAAATATAATACATATAATACATATAATACATATATTACATATAAAACATAAGAAATAAAATACATAAAATACAAATAATACAAATATACATATAATATTTAATACATGTAATATATGTCATACATGTACTACATTTACATTTACATTTACATACAATACAAATATGCATATATACATACATACATATTTGAATATATACATAACCACATATATACATATATACATACAAATGTACATTCATACATACACATACACATACACATATACATATACATATGCATTTACATATACTTATACTTATACTTATACATACATACATACATACATGCATGCATGCATGCATACATACATACATACATACAGACACACACATACATACATACATACATACATACATACATACATACATTCCATACATTGCATACATTGCATACATTGCATACATTGCATACATTACATACATTACATACATTGCATACATTGCATACATTACATACATTACATACATTACATACATAACATACATAACATACATATATACATACATACATACATACATCCATACATCCATACATCCATACATCCATACATCCATACATGCATGCATACATGCATGCATACATGCATACATACATTACATACATTAAATACATTACATACATTACATACATACATTACATGCATTACATACATTACATACATTACATACACTACATACATACATTACATACATTACATACATTACATACATACATGCCATACATACAATACATACATTACATACATTACATTACATACATACATTACATGCATTACATACATTACATACATTACATACATTACATACATACATACATACATAAATACAGACATACACACATACATACATACATCCATACATACATACATACATGCATACATACATACATGTATACATATACACATGTATACATATATACATGTATACATATTTACATGTATACATGTATACATATATACATATATACATGTATACATGTATGCATATATACAAATATACCTGTAGACATATATACATATTTACATATGTACATATATACATATATACATATATACATATATACATATATACATATATACACATATATACATATATATATACATATATACATATTTACATATATACATACATATACATATATACATACATACATATATATATATATTTACATATACACATATACACATATATACATATATATATATTTACATATATACATATATACATATATACGTATTTACACAAATACATATACACATGCACATGGAAACAGAAATCAAAATATACAAAGACATACACATACAGATACACATACAGATACACATATGTATATACATATACCTATACGTATATGTATACGTAGGTATACGTAAATATCAAATCATATTGCATGGTATGGGTCCATTTCAGAAATGGTATCTACATTTTCATAGATATGGAGGTTTCCTAAGTCATGGGAGTACCCTAAATCATCGTCTTTTGGAAAATTTTCCACCATAAAATATCCAGCGTTGGGTCCCCATTGTAGGAAACCCCTATATTGAGGTTATATCCCGGCCTTGTACTCCTGCTTGGCGGACAGCAACCCAGGAAGCTTCAAAGACCTGTCGGTCTTTGAGGTGGCTAGTGCTGGAACCATAATGGGATGGGGATTTCATGATTTTCATGGATCCATAATGGTATTTAACTAATGGTATGAAATTTTACATATGGATTTAATATTTAATGGGTCCATAATGGGAATGAAGGTTTGGGTTCCGGTGAATCTTAGCATTTTTTTTTGCCCCCGTCTGTTCCAACTTTAGCGGGACTAGCCATTCCTTCTCCCGCGGGCTGCTTCTTCTACGTGGATAGTGCACGCTGAATCTCCATCGCTCTTGCATCTGCACTTCAGGCTCTTGGTTTGCTCTGGTCGCTGGCCATTGGCTTCAAGTTTGTCCTGGTGATTGTGTATGAGCTCGGCATTTGTGAGGTTCCTCATCCTGATTTTGCTTCTGGATAAGGGCATCGACCTGTTTGCTGTGAACCACGACACCTACACAGCGCCGCACACAGCGGCGTCAGCGGGCCGAGGCTCGTCGAGATTGGTTCCTCCATCGACAAAGCTTCATACGGCTGGCGCCGCTGAGGATCCAGCAGATCTATTCACATATACACAGGATGTAGTATAATCTATGTATGTATATAAATATACATTTATATTTATATATTGGTAAATATATATAATTATATAGAGTATTATATAATGATATCGTGTAGATTGATTTATATAATATATATATATACAATTACGCCGTATGTGTGTGTGTATGCTTGTGCCTCACGGACGCTATGGAGGTTAGAAAGCCCAAAAGTTACAATGTTTCAGCTATGTTTTTCCAAAAGACACGCCAGTACAACTTCAACGTCCTTTGTAAGTTCTGGCCAAGTCGGAAACTCGGCCTTCAAACCCTCACCCATGGACCCACAAACTTGTCCTGCAAAACTATTTGCTCACAAACCTGGGCGCTACGGAGCGCCTTTTCACTTGAGCCAAAATAGAGTGGCGCAGGAATGCGTTGGGCTCACCCGGCTGTACATTATGGTGATATATTTCTGCACTCCTCCTTACGTAAGAACTGGCTTTCCAGTTCGCCGGTGCTACACAAACTAAGCCACCACAGTCACTGTGCTGTGGGCGAACCTCGTGCTACCATTCATCCGCTACTTTTGGCTTCCTAGGTCGGTAGTGGAGTCTGGCCAGGGCCTTTGGACTATGAGTCTGATAGCTTCATCTGACCCTTACTCCGCTCTGTCAGGTATAGGTAACCTGAGCTTTCCATTGTGTTGCGCATTGGTACTCCGGGCAAGCTCTTGGTCAATGCGTCTGCCGATTGCTCTTTCCAGGTACATGCACAACCTTCAGATGGCTCATGGCTACTCGTTCTTGCAGTCACAGATACCTCGTTTGGATGTGCTTCGCTTTTCCGAGTCCTATTCGGCTCACCGTTCCTTTTGCCAAATTGGAGTCGGACTCTACCACTGCTGGCAGATCAAATCCTAGATCTTGCAACAGCGATTGTATGCCCAACGCCGTGCTTCCTCCCCTCACCAAGGCGTAATACTTGCTTTCGCCTGTGGAACGAGATATGGTCGATTGGACATTGCTGGCAAGTTTGAGCGTATGTGCTCCGAACAGTGCCAACATCCCGATCTTGGGGTGACAGCGCAACCAGCATGGTCCCTGTCCACTTGCACTCGGATACTGCTTGGCGTCCGTTGCTCCGCAAAGATCTGAGTGAAGTCTGGGTATTTCTTGAAGAATCTACCCAAGCCTCTTAAGATCGCTCCACTTGGCCCAGTAAGGTTGACCAGTCCCCGTGCGAGGTTTTTCACCATGTGTGAAATGTCAGGGCGGTCTTGCGACAGGTATGCCGCTCGCATCACACATGACCGGTATATGTCTTTGCGAAGTCTTTTCCTAGGATTAGACTTTTGGATTCCAGCATCTGCTGGTCCACCGACTTCTTCACATCGGGTGTGTCCACTCCTTTTGCTGTTTCCAGACCCAACTCTCGGATCAAAAGATCTACATGTCTCCTGTCCGGTTCTAAGAAAACTGCTTGTCGACCGTTGTGCTACCCCACTCTGATCAAGCGATTCAGAAAATGGATTTCTCGGTCGTCACCTTCCTCGAACCCTAAAGTGCGGAGCCGTTTCAGCTCGTATGCACTCCGCAACAGGTCATCGATCTCCTGTAATCCTTGGCTGTCGCTCAACACCAGGAAATCGTCACCGTGTACGACGATTCTTGTTCCATCACTTTCACAACAGAACACGCTTCCGTTTGAACGGGCTCGCTTTATGTTGGCCGATTCCAGCAAGCTGGTGTAATGACCCGGCCAAATATTGCGTGCGTCCTGCGTTCCATACATGGACTTCATCAATAGACCACATTCCTTCTCATCAGGTTCCGTGTACGACACATCTTCATCGGGTATAGTTCGATGTACAGTAGATGGTCCTTTTCGGAATGCCGTAAAAGTGTGCTCTGCTGATGTCCTATATAATCCAATGCTTCAGCTTTTGTCCTCAGTCCTCTCTTTGACAGCTTTTGGGTGCTCATGAGTGAACAGAGCAACCGCATTGACTCCAGGGGAGGAGTCGAGCTGAACAGCAGGTTCTGAGGTAGCTGCTCGCTCTCCGATTTTGTTGCCTTGATGTCCTTCACTACAAGTTGTGATCTGAAGTTAGGTTTGGTTGGATCTCCTTTTTCTGTGTCCAGCCACCTGACCGGTATCGGCCTCCGGCCTGTGACTTTGAAGGCTTCGGATGTCGGTCCTTTCTCGTAAACCGCTTGTTTCTTCAAGTATTCCATTTCCAACTTCCTAGCCTCACGGACTTTCTCTGGCGCTAATTCACATCGTCCCAATACCATTCTTCAAACTCCCTTTGATTGACAAATGGCTCCTCGCTGGTGTTTGCTTCGGTGGAGCCTAGCTCTCCACTCCGCACCAGCTCGGCCTCTAGCCATCTAAGTACAGCTTTGACTAGCATTGGTGGATACTCTGCCGCTGCTCTTGAAATGCCACCAATAAGATGGATGTGTCTGTGCCATTCACCTCCAGTCTTATTAGTGCACTCGCCTTGTAAGAGCTCGGCTAGGTCTTCGCCGTTTGTCAGCCAACCTGTTTCTTTTCGGACGCAGCGGGTCCCTTGAAGACCGCGCTTGTCGGTAGCCATCATGTTCTACCGGCACATTGGTCCACGTACCAAACACCTGGTGATGCCAAAATTGCCTGTACTTCAGGGTCTTTCCAACTTGACCCTCCCCACGGTGCTTCATGTAGGAATATTCGGCCTGCGTCATACTGCTTTCTGCACATTTTGCAGCTGACATGCAGGTGATGTCTTGCCTCAGTCATCCGCTGCTCACGGACATCTGGGCTGATCTTGTCCCAGCTTATTTTTTGGAGTTGGGAAAACATATGGCACGGTGGACTGCCTGTTAGCAGTTCTGGTTTGTCATCTTCCACGATCCGCTCAACTTCTTCTACATCTTCGGACTTTGTCAGATCCCAGTAGGATCTGTCCGGCTTCTGTTCAGTCAAGTCTACAGCGAAACCTGGTCTCAGTCGGTATCTCGTCGCCGCTTCTGTAAACCTCTTCAGGCTGTAGATTTCCATCACGTCCACTGCACACATTTGACAACTCAGTTCTGCAATGTTGTCTGCGTCCTCTTCATTGATCGTCACACCTCTCAACTCATAGGTGTCCAAGACCAGAGGTTTTATCAGTGTCTTGAAAACTTTCTTCTGTTTCATCAGAGCTCCAGTTTCCATCTGAACTCCCTCGGGCAAAGTGCCCGGCGACACCACGTGCGATACTGCACATGGCCTGTACTCACATGTTCCTCCACCTCTTCGGGTGTTGGATCGGTAGGTGCTCTTATTCGAACGGATTGGGCCATCTCTTCCAGCTCAACTTCCTCACCAACCCGAACTCTGTTTTATATGTATATATACACTTCTTACATATATATATATATATAATTTACATTTACATATAGGGACCATCACCATCTCGGGGGGAGGGGCGACCACGAAACACTGGGCCATATATATATATATAGATATAGATATTACACCTTTACGTAGACATATACATACACATAAACATACACACATACATAAAATACATATAATACTAATACATATACAGATACATATACATATATGGTCCCGTCCTCCGTCTCTCCACCCCCCCCTCCCCCCCCACTGGGTTGGGTCCCCAGGTAGCAGCCCCAATTCCCTTCTATTTGCAAGCTATTGGCAGCATTTCTGAGGTCCAGCTTCGTATTTGCTAGGTCTTTGCAGCATTTCTGACTACCAGCCTCGCATTTACTAGGTACATGCTACCTTTTAGGCGACCTACGTAGCACACATACTCCTTCAAAGTACCTACGTGCTACCTATAGTCATATATATACATGTGCTATGTATCTACTGTATCTACTTCCTATTTATTACCTGTGTACTCTGACAACACTACCTGTGTTTAACATATACCGTACCTACCATACGTGTCAATGATGCCATGCATACCATACCTATCATATCTATCATACATACCATACATACCATACATATGAAATGTAATTACCACACCTACCATACATACAATAGCCAACATACATGCCATACATACCATACCTACCTTACATAGGAAATATTCCATACCCATCATAGTAACCATACATACCATACAGACCATACATACTGTCATATCAAACATACCATACCCAACAGGCTTACATACCATACCTACCATCCATACAATACCAACCACTCATGCCATACATACCATACCTACCATACATACCAAACATACCATACTTTCCAAACATGCCATACCAGACCGACCATACACACCATACATACCCAACATACCATACCACACCCCCACCACACCACAGGGGGGGGGAGGGGGACAGTGCCACACCCCCATCACACCACAGGGGGTGGAGGGGGAAGATCTCATATGGGGCCAGTATATGGGACCCATCCCATGGGGGGGGTGGCAGGGCCTGGTGCATATATACAGAAACATATACATGCACATTTACACATACATATACACATACACATAAATATACAGATACATATACAGAAACACATACGTGTACGTATACATATACAGATACATTTATAATACTTACATATACAGGTACACATAGGTACAAGTATACATATACATATACATATACATATACATATACATAGACATACACATATACATATACATATACATGTACATATACAGATACATATACATATAGATATACACTTACACATACACGTACACATACATATATAATACATAATGCATAATACTTGTTTCTCTGCGGTTTCACAGCCCAAAACATGCCTTGACACACTGACAGCTCACACTAGGCAAAATTGGAACAGCAGCCATAGCAAAACCAACAGCGACGGCGACAAATCGAGAAGGAGGTTGAATGAATAGCTCACGTGGGCACTGAAGTGCGCCGACGTGCAATCAATGGATACGACCATGTTCTCAAAATCACATGTGTGTTCATGTTCCCGCAGGAATCTCAAAATGCACATGCATGTTTTGGGGACGTCTTTGGAAACCACGAACCAGTTCAACCTATCAAAATGACACTCCATGAACAAGTTGAGTTACATCATACTACATTAGAAATAATACATAATACAAAAGACATAATACATAATACATAATACATATACACATCCAATGTTCAAATACATATACATTTACATACACATACACATATACATATACAAATGCAAAAACATATACATATACATTGAAAAAATATAATACATATAATACATATAATACATATATTACATATAAAACATAAGAGAAATAAAATACATAAAATACAAATAATACAAATATACATATAATATTTAATACATGTAATATATGTCATACATGTACTACATTTACATTTACATTTACATACAATACAAATATGCATATATACATATACGCATATCAACATATTTGCATATTTGCATATATACATATTCACATATATACATATATAGTTATATACATATATCCATATATACATATTTACATATACACATACATACATATTTGAATATATACATAACCACATATATACATATAGACATACAAATGTACATTCATACATACACATACACATACACATATACATATACATATGCATTTACATATACTTATACTTATACTTATACATACATACATGCATGCATGCATGCATACATACATACATACAGACACACACATACATACATACATACATACATACATTCCATACATTGCATACATTGCATACATTGCATACATTGCATACATTACATACATTACATACATTGCATACATTGCATACATTACATACATTACATACATTACATACATAACATACATAACATACATATATACATACATACATACATACATCCATACATCCATACATCCATACATCCATACATCCATACATGCATGCATACATGCATGCATACATGCATACATACATTACATACATTAAATACATTACATACATTACATACATACATTACATGCATTACATACATTACATACATTACATACACTACATACATACATTACATACATTACATACATTACATACATACATGCCATACATACAATACATACATTACATACATTACATTACATACATACATTACATGCATTACATACATTACATACATTACATACATTACATACATACATACATACATAAATACAGACATACACACATACATACATACATCCATACATACATACATACATGCATACATACATACATGTATACATATACACATGTATACATATATACATGTATACATATTTACATGTATACATGTATACATATATACATATATACATGTATACATGTATGCATATATACAAATATACCTGTAGACATATATACATATTTACATATGTACATATATACATATATACATATATACATATATACATATATACACATATATACATATATATATATATACATATATACATATTTACATATATACATACATATACATATATACATACATACATATATATATACATATACACATATACACATATATACATATATATATATTTACATATATACATATATACATATATACGTATTTACACAAATACATATACACATGCACATGGAAACAGAAATCAAAATATACAAAGACATACACATACAGATACACATACAGATACACATATGTATATACATATACCTATACGTATATGTATACGTAGGTATACGTAAATATCAAATCATATTGCATGGTATGGGTCCATTTCAGAAATGGTATCTACATTTTCATAGATATGGAGGTTTCCTAAGTCATGGGAGTACCCTAAATCATCGTCTTTTGGAAAATTTTCCACCATAAAATATCCAGCGTTGGGTCCCCATTGTAGGAAACCCCTATATTGAGGTTATATCCCGGCCTTGTACTCCTGCTTGGCGGACAGCAACCCAGGAAGCTTCAAAGACCTGTCGGTCTTTGAGGTGGCTAGTGCTGGAACCATAATGGGATGGGGATTTCATGATTTTCATGGATCCATAATGGTATTTAACTAATGGTATGAAATTTTACATATGGATTTAATATTTAATGGGTCCATAATGGGAATGAAGGTTTGGGTTCCGGTGAATCTTAGCATTTTTTTTTGCCCCCGTCTGTTCCAACTTTAGCGGGACTAGCCATTCCTTCTCCCGCGGGCTGCTTCTTCTACGTGGATAGTGCACGCTGAATCTCCATCGCTCTTGCATCTGCACTTCAGGCTCTTGGTTTGCTCTGGTCGCTGGCCATTGGCTTCAAGTTTGTCCTGGTGATTGTGTATGAGCTCGGCATTTGTGAGGTTCCTCATCCTGATTTTGCTTCTGGATAAGGGCATCGACCTGTTTGCTGTGAACCACGACACCTACACAGCGCCGCACACAGCGGCGTCAGCGGGCCGAGGCTCGTCGAGATTGGTTCCTCCATCGACAAAGCTTCATACGGCTGGCGCCGCTGAGGATCCAGCAGATCTATTCACATATACACAGGATGTAGTATAATCTATGTATGTATATAAATATACATTTATATTTATATATTGGTAAATATATATAATTATATAGAGTATTATATAATGATATCGTGTAGATTGATTTATATAATATATATATATATACAATTACGCCGTATGTGTGTGTGTATGCTTGTGCCTCACGGACGCTATGGAGGTTAGAAAGCCCAAAAGTTACAATGTTTCAGCTATGTTTTTCCAAAAGACACGCCAGTACAACTTCAACGTCCTTTGTAAGTTCTGGCCAAGTCGGAAACTCGGCCTTCAAACCCTCACCCATGGACCCACAAACTTGTCCTGCAAAACTATTTGCTCACAAACCTGGGCGCTACGGAGCGCCTTTTCACTTGAGCCAAAATAGAGTGGCGCAGGAATGCGTTGGGCTCACCCGGCTGTACATTATGGTGATATATTTCTGCACTCCTCCTTACGTAAGAACTGGCTTTCCAGTTCGCCGGTGCTACACAAACTAAGCCACCACAGTCACTGTGCTGTGGGCGAACCTCGTGCTACCATTCATCCGCTACTTTTGGCTTCCTAGGTCGGTAGTGGAGTCTGGCCAGGGCCTTTGGACTATGAGTCTGATAGCTTCATCTGACCCTTACTCCGCTCTGTCAGGTATAGGTAACCTGAGCTTTCCATTGTGTTGCGCATTGGTACTCCGGGCAAGCTCTTGGTCAATGCGTCTGCCGATTGCTCTTTCCAGGTACATGCACAACCTTCAGATGGCTCATGGCTACTCGTTCTTGCAGTCACAGATACCTCGTTTGGATGTGCTTCGCTTTTCCGAGTCCTATTCGGCTCACCGTTCCTTTTGCCAAATTGGAGTCGGACTCTACCACTGCTGGCAGATCAAATCCTAGATCTTGCAACAGCGATTGTATGCCCAACGCCGTGCTTCCTCCCCTCACCAAGGCGTAATACTTGCTTTCGCCTGTGGAACGAGATATGGTCGATTGGACATTGCTGGCAAGTTTGAGCGTATGTGCTCCGAACAGTGCCAACATCCCGATCTTGGGGTGACAGCGCAACCAGCATGGTCCCTGTCCACTTGCACTCGGATACTGCTTGGCGTCCGTTGCTCCGCAAAGATCTGAGTGAAGTCTGGGTATTTCTTGAAGAATCTACCCAAGCCTCTTAAGATCGCTCCACTTGGCCCAGTAAGGTTGACCAGTCCCCGTGCGAGGTTTTTCACCATGTGTGAAATGTCAGGGCGGTCTTGCGACAGGTATGCCGCTCGCATCACACATGACCGGTATATGTCTTTGCGAAGTCTTTTCCTAGGATTAGACTTTTGGATTCCAGCATCTGCTGGTCCACCGACTTCTTCACATCGGGTGTGTCCACTCCTTTTGCTGTTTCCAGACCCAACTCTCGGATCAAAAGATCTACATGTCTCCTGTCCGGTTCTAAGAAAACTGCTTGTCGACCGTTGTGCTACCCCACTCTGATCAAGCGATTCAGAAAATGGATTTCTCGGTCGTCACCTTCCTCGAACCCTAAAGTGCGGAGCCGTTTCAGCTCGTATGCACTCCGCAACAGGTCATCGATCTCCTGTAATCCTTGGCTGTCGCTCAACACCAGGAAATCGTCACCGTGTACGACGATTCTTGTTCCATCACTTTCACAACAGAACACGCTTCCGTTTGAACGGGCTCGCTTTATGTTGGCCGATTCCAGCAAGCTGGTGTAATGACCCGGCCAAATATTGCGTGCGTCCTGCGTTCCATACATGGACTTCATCAATAGACCACATTCCTTCTCATCAGGTTCCGTGTACGACACATCTTCATCGGGTATAGTTCGATGTACAGTAGATGGTCCTTTTCGGAATGCCGTAAAAGTGTGCTCTGCTGATGTCCCATATAATCCAATGCTTCAGCTTTTGTCCTCAGTCCTCTCTTTGACAGCTTTTGGGTGCTCATGAGTGAACAGAGCAACCGCATTGACTCCAGGGGAGGAGTCGAGCTGAACAGCAGGTTCTGAGGTAGCTGCTCGCTCTCCGATTTTGTTGCCTTGATGTCCTTCACTACAAGTTGTGATCTGAAGTTAGGTTTGGTTGGATCTCCTTTTTCTGTGTCCAGCCACCTGACCGGTATCGGCCTCCGGCCTGTGACTTTGAAGGCTTCGGATGTCGGTCCTTTCTCGTAAACCGCTTGTTTCTTCAAGTATTCCATTTCCAACTTCCTAGCCTCACGGACTTTCTCTGGCGCTAATTCACATCGTCCCAATACCATTCTTCAAACTCCCTTTGATTGACAAATGGCTCCTCGCTGGTGTTTGCTTCGGTGGAGCCTAGCTCTCCACTCCGCACCAGCTCGGCCTCTAGCCATCTAAGTACAGCTTTGACTAGCATTGGTGGATACTCTGCCGCTGCTCTTGAAATGCCACCAATAAGATGGATGTGTCTGTGCCATTCACCTCCAGTCTTATTAGTGCACTCGCCTTGTAAGAGCTCGGCTAGGTCTTCGCCGTTTGTCAGCCAACCTGTTTCTTTTCGGACGCAGCGGGTCCCTTGAAGACCGCGCTTGTCGGTAGCCATCATGTTCTACCGGCACATTGGTCCACGTACCAAACACCTGGTGATGCCAAAATTGCCTGTACTTCAGGGTCTTTCCAACTTGACCCTCCCCACGGTGCTTCATGTAGGAATATTCGGCCTGCGTCATACTGCTTTCTGCACATTTTGCAGCTGACATGCAGGTGATGTCTTGCCTCAGTCATCCGCTGCTCACGGACATCTGGGCTGATCTTGTCCCAGCTTATTTTTTGGAGTTGGGAAAACATATGGCACGGTGGACTGCCTGTTAGCAGTTCTGGTTTGTCATCTTCCACGATCCGCTCAACTTCTTCTACATCTTCGGACTTTGTCAGATCCCAGTAGGATCTGTCCGGCTTCTGTTCAGTCAAGTCTACAGCGAAACCTGGTCTCAGTCGGTATCTCGTCGCCGCTTCTGTAAACCTCTTCAGGCTGTAGATTTCCATCACGTCCACTGCACACATTTGACAACTCAGTTCTGCAATGTTGTCTGCGTCCTCTTCATTGATCGTCACACCTCTCAACTCATAGGTGTCCAAGACCAGAGGTTTTATCAGTGTCTTGAAAACTTTCTTCTGTTTCATCAGAGCTCCAGTTTCCATCTGAACTCCCTCGGGCAAAGTGCCCGGCGACACCACGTGCGATACTGCACATGGCCTGTACTCACATGTTCCTCCACCTCTTCGGGTGTTGGATCGGTAGGTGCTCTTATTCGAACGGATTGGGCCATCTCTTCCAGCTCAACTTCCTCACCAACCTCACCTTCATCCCGAGGTCGGCCTGGAAGATTAGGATTTGCCTCGGCCGCTTCACCTGCAGCCGCTCCAGATTCTCTGGCCGGACTTACACGTCCTTCCGCTGCCGGCTAAGACCCTGCTCAAGGTTTTCATCCACCGGTGACTTTCCTTGCAAGTAGAAGTTGTAGATGCCCCTCTCTTGGTGCAACTTCAGCCATTTGCGCTTTTCGCTGGCTGCGGCCTTCTTCAAGATCCTTTGGATGTCCTTTGGCGCTGCTGAGTTCAAAGGCAAAACATGGCCTCCATGTTCATCAAGAACTGCCAGACGTCCTTCGCTCAGACACTCGTAGGCTGATACCAACGGTTTGTGCACATTGGCTATCGGTCCGGTGATCTTGCATCGGAGTCCATTTTCGTCTGACCCTACATAGGGTCCAGTCCCTTCACTGGGAACCAATTCACCTGATGCTGTCTTGAACGTCACAGTGGTTCCTGGTGTCCATTGAATGGCGTTCCAGGACTTCGGAATTGCCGTTTGTGCGGCACCTCTGTCCAGGTTGAATTTGGTCCACTCACCACAATCATGTGGTTCCGAATTCATAATGACACCATTTTTCAAAAGTGTCAACCTCTTCATTTTCGGGTTCATCACCCGCTTCATACTCGGCATCTTCTTCCTCTCCGGCCTCATCGAGGGCCGATGCATGTTTCTTCGGCTTTCCTTTTCCTTTTCCTTTCTTGCCATCAGTTGAGCCTTTGTTTGAGCCTTTGCTTGAGCCTTTCTTTCCCTTTCCACCTTTTGAGCCTTTAGAACCGTCTTTCTTCTTACTCCAACAATCTGCAGCCTTACGTCCCTGTTTACCACGGTTCTAACAGGCCATATCTTTGTCATTATTTTTCCAACCTTTATTTCCTTTACCACCTTTACCGACCTTTACCTTTTCCTTTCCCTTTCACCAAGGAACCCAGCCATGCTGCGAAGGAGTCGACCTCCATAGGCGCTGGTCCTTGGCTTGACGCTGCTGCCGCTGATCCCGGCCTGTGAATCTTCCCTTTCGAACCCAACATGGTTTCCATCAAAACTTCAATCTCCTGTTTGATGAGGCTATAGGATGTCAACCTACTTTTGTTGAGAATCAAATGCTTTTTCAAATCTGTGGGCACTAGGAGTTCTATGGCCGTGCATTTGATGTCATCTCCAAGAGTTTCCCTCTGCCCGTTTTCATTCTTTCGTGCCTCATACCTCCGGATCAAACCATCAAGTTGTTTTGGTACGCTCTGGATTACATATTGCCCTAAGGATCTGTAACCGGACCCCACCGGCGATTCAACCGCCGCCAAGCTTCAAATCTAGAAGCTGCCAAGTTCGCGCATCCGGCCACAAGCTCTTCGGATTCACCTGTGGTCAACGAGCTAAGCACTTGTCATCCAACCCTGGGATTCCATCTGGATCCAAATCATCCCAAACTTGGTCTCTAGGGTTGTGAAATCAACCGCATCCTCAAGGTCTAAACAATAATCCAAAACATCTTGAAACTCTTTTCCAAACATCCCAACTGTAAGGTTGCAAACCGTCCTAGCCCATCTACGGAAACTTGGTTCATCGTTGTTGAAGGTTTCTGGTTTACCTAAACCCTCAGCATCTACCAACAACATACGATCTTTTCTTTCGCTTTTGTTTTCTTCTACGGATTTAGCCAAGTCCCCAAGAGATTTGGCAATCGCTGCAACCCCGGTCTGCTGCGCCCTGAGCGCTTCATTTTCCTGCTGCAGGGATTGCTGCCCTGTCTTGAGTGAAACATTTTCAGCTTGAAGCTGCCCGTTTGCACAGCAGGATCCATCAGAAGTAATCTTCAACGGCGTCTTGCTCCGCCGCTTCTTCTTCTTCTTCAGACTCCCACACGTACGTGTCCGTGTACGTGTACTCACTATCTGATGGATGTTCTTTCTTCGGCTTGGCCTTGGGTTCAACTGATGATACGGCAGCCGCTGGTCTCTTCAGAACCTGTTGGGATTTCGGCCTGGGCTTCGCCTCGGCCGCTTTCGGTTCTGGTGCGGCTTTGGTCTTTCGCTTCTTCCTTGACGGTTCACGCTTTGTCTTCGGCCTCTCTACGCCCTCCTCTAAAGCCTTCCTCCTGCTCAAACTCCCATTGGGCTCTTCCAATTGTTCTGTATTTGGATTCAACAACGTCACATTCCGGCCGATATGATAGATCCTCTCCCCAGCCTTAGGTGTTGGTCCTGCGGCCTTTGGTTCCTGCGCTTTAGGTGTAGGTGGTGGTCCTTTCGCCTTTGGTTCTGTCTCTTGCGACCGTTCAGATGCTCCTGGGGTCTTTGTCGTCGAGGTTTCAGTGCCACTGGGAATTTTCTCCGTGCCCTTGCTTTTGCTTGAGACTTTGCTACAACTGAGGATGCGAATCGATGTACTGCTGATCGCTGCCGCGTCTTGCGTTCATCACAAGATGAGCAAGCCTCGTCGGTCCCGTCGGCTTGGTAAACCCTTGCAACAATTGCAGTCGCAAGTGCCCCGTGCACGTGCTTGTGCAACGGCTTTTTGGGCTGCAGCACTTCGCTGTCGATAGTTGGATCCTAGGGCTGCTTCCGGACCAGTCACACCACGCGCAACACGAGCCTTAGCTAACCTTGTAGTACTGGGATGGACTGTGATCCTCCTAGCACGCCGTCCGGCCACCGCCTTCGGTGTTGCGGACGCTTTTCCTTCCGATCTCGGTGGATCGTCTCGGCTTAAACCATTCCCTGGTCATGGCCTGTGGCGCTGGCTCTGTTGAAGGATGGTCGCTCGGTCTTAAATCGACCGCTGGTGTTGCTCCTGAACCACCAGAAGCTCCTCCTGGACCAAATGCGTCCACGACGTGTTGGAGATGTTCTGGAAGGTCTCACCGTACTCAACTATGGGCTTCCCTTCTCCTTTCTTTCCGGTTCCTTTGCCCGTGGCTTTCTTGTCTTTCTGTCTCTGAAGTGCTTCCGCACACAAATCCTCTTGCGGTGGTTGCCTTTGGGAATGGACCTCTCCTCGGCGCAATCCGAAGTTCGTAGACCTTCTCCGACCCTCTCCGGTCTACCAGCTCCTCCTTCAACAGCTCCCTCGGGCTCTGCTGGCCCGTCGCTCGTTTCCTCGCGCTCTGCTGCTTCTGCAGCCTCTGACCTTCGGGCTCTGTCGGCCCGTCGGCCCCTACAATGGGCCCTGGAGCCACCAGCTCCTCTCCTCCTCCGAAATCAGGAGTTTCGGCTCGAATCCCTGTCTCGAACCTCTCTCGCTACCATGCAAAACTATTTACTCACAAACCTGAGCGCTACAGGGGTTAAGGATCAAAAAAAGATATTATTGATATCAAAAAAAACTCCAAAAGGATCAAAAAAATATTATTGGTATCAAAAAACAGAAACCTATACCCTCATCGACCCCTGTCTGCATTAATGTGTGGATGTATGCATGTACGCACGTGTGCATGTATGTCTGTATAGTATATGTTTGTATGTATGTCTTTAATGGATGTGTAGAAGTCTATGTGTGAAGGCAAAAAAACATCAAGACACCAGCAGAAGGATCGCAGACTCAGGATGTAGCAGTACGTGCTAAAATTGTGCACAGTTGCGCATACAGCTCAGCACAGGATGTACCACCCCCCAAAGCAGAATGACAATACCTGTGCTCCCGTGTGTTGCTGTAGGTTGAATATGGTTGGTACTCAGGGTTTACGTATGTGTATATCTATATATATATTTATTTATTTATTTATATATATATATGTATATATATACATATATATATATATGGTACTTAAGGTATACATGATGCACAACACGCCTACGGTGAGCATGTAGAATGTAAGTTAAATTAAGGGTGGTGTGGGGGGTAGGGGAAGGATTGGGGTTGTGTGCATGTCAGCATATGAATTGGGACTCTTGAATGGACTGTACTGAAATACATTTGTCGAATCATATATTTCCAAATGTGCAAGCTTGGATTCAAATAAAAAAGACGGGAGGGAGGATTGGGGGAGGGCGCAGCGCCTCCCCCAAAGCAGAATGACAACACCTGGCTGTGCTCCTGTGTGCGGTGAAATATGGTACTCAGGGATTTTGTGTATATATATATATATTTATATTTATATTTTTATTTTTATTTTTATTTTTATTTATTTATTTATTTATTTTTATATTTATTTATTTATTTATTGATTTATTTATTTATTGATTGATTTAAATGGTACTCAAGGTATACATACATTTATATATATATACATAAAATGCACAACATGCCTGTTGTGAGCGAATGTAAGTTAAATCAAGTAGATTCGTAGATATAGTTGGAGAGCCGCTTTCGACAAGTGTCCAGTGTCCTGAAATACCGCTTTCAGCTTCCTTCCTTCCTTCCTTCCTTCCTTCCTTCCGTCCTTCCGTCCGTCCGTCCGTCCGTCCGTCCGTCCTTCCGTCCTTCCGTCCTTCCGTCCTTCCGTCCTTCCGTCCTTCCGTCCTTCCGTCCTTCCGTCCTTCCGTCCTTCCGTCCTTCCGTCCGTCCTTCCGTCCGTCCTTCCGTCCGTCCTTCCTTTTGATGCGTATCCCCGCTACGGAGCGCCCTTTCACTTGAGCCTAAATAGAGAATGCATTGGGCTCACCTGGCTGTACATTATGGTGATATATTTCTGCATGTCCATTTGTACATCATAATTATGATATAAAATATAATCATCCGTTTCGTGTGGCTGAAAGTTTTCATCGATCCCCAAATCCCGAAAATGAAATCCATCGCCCGAAGAACGGCACCCACCTTCACCAAATGCTCGCCGGCGACAACCGCGCTCTCATGATCTAAAAAGTTAATAAAGCACATGTCGATGTTCCTCGCTTTTCTATGTCCTGAGCAGCAAATTGAAGCACCAAAATCGTGTTTGATGCGCCCAAGTTTCGGTCAGAATTGATCGCCAGGTGTCTGGACCGTGGAGAGTAGAAGAGGTCATACTTGCATGGTGCCACCTGGACAATGCCCCAATGCCCCATCCGCAAGGTAGTGATGTATTGGATTCATATTGTCGGATGTTAATGGATACTGTAACTCTAGATACAATAGATGTTGGCACAGCTCATGTGCCGCACAGTTAATGGATGTGAATGGATTGTGATAATCCGCACCCACAAAAAGTCTTGTTGCACTACCCCACCTCATCGATCGTTCTCAGCAAGGTTTCACCAGCGCGCGACAACTTCGGTGGCAGGAACTTCAACCTTAGCAGTGCTTAGTTACTTTTAGTTGATTTGGGATTCATAGAATGTGGCATACCGGTCCATAAGATGCCAACTAAGCCCCAAATGTTACCAGAAATAAGGCTTGGAACTGAACCATCCCAATGCCCAGACCGATCTTCCACGGCATCAGAAGATTCTTCGGCAAAAAAATTGGATCGTGGTTGAGCCACCCTTTGCAAACGAATTTTTTTTAAGATACTAAACTAGTGATAGATCGAGTTTCTATCCTTTTGGGGGTGCTGCACAATTTTTAGGACCAGCATCAGCTCCTGATTTTCGTTGCGGGAAATTTTGGTTTCACCACCGACCCGACCCATTTCTTCTCTGCAGGTCACATGATTGTTGTTGCACCTTCCTCAAGATGGAACCTCGACTGATCCCCATTTGTTGATGGGTCGTGGTACCATATATGACCATCAACAGGTTTTGGACGTGAAAAGTTCGCAAATGACATGTGGAATGTTGCATGGAGTCAGTCAATAATATAAATAACAAAAATTTACGTAGTAATTGCAACAATAATAACAATAATAACTTTTAGGTCAGTAATATTTAAGATCGTAACTGCCATTGATGCTCATATTCCCTGCCTCTCTTCATCTGCAAGTCGCACCACCACACGTGCTACTTTCATCAAAAGGAACTGCCTCAGATTTCATTGTGCATTACCACATGCACAACAAGGAGGTTGACAAATTACCACATACCCGCGACACTGTTCACACAGTCTGGGGTTGCTGCACGCCACATTGCGATTGGTAGTAGTACCCGGACGAAACTAAATTTAACCAAAATGGCATCCATATTATGCATAAGGAATTAAATTGCATGTGATTGGTTGTTTGCACCCCAATAGCAAAGTTTCGTGTTTCCTTTGACGCCCATTTTTGCGTTGACAGGTGAGCCACTTTACTTGAGAAAATACCATTCCTTCAATACCACCAAGACACCACCGGAACACGGCCAAAACACCAAAGAAACACCCAAAACATGAGCAAAACACCCAAAACATCACCGGACACCGTCGAGACACTACACTACGGACACACCACCAAAGTGCCACCAAGGCAACAACGACCACCTAAACAAAATTGACAGACCACTAAGACACCAGCACGAAGGACACAACCAAGTCCCACAAGGACCTGCAAAGGGTTTTTCCCAAAAAGTTATTGCCAACATATTTTGTCATGATAATTTTCCCCATCACCATCTTCTCGCATCACCATCAACACAACACCGTCACAACAACATCATCACAGCACCACCACCACCACCACCATCATCATCATCACCATCATTTTCATCATGATCACCTTTTTCTTTTCACCAACCATGCCCCCATCATCAACATCACCATCATCATCATCAACATCAACAACAACAACAACAATAATAACAACAACAACAACATCACGTTTCATTTTTGACAAGTTTCAATTTGTGCATCAACAAAATGAAATGCACAGGTGTACATGCCGGTATGTAAATATTAATATGTCTTCACAACACCCAAGGTCGTTTAGAAGGAGAACCTCCAAGTTACGGAAGCGCGTAATAGGACGCCTCGACAAACTCGTCGTTTTTTTTCTCAAACGAATATGTGAAATGACTGGACATGCCAAATGACTGAAAGAACGATGCTGCACGGATCTCTCTTTGTCATGCCTGGTCGGGGGAGCGATCACAAGGTTTGCTGGTGACTTGTCATGTTTCCTTTGAAGTCATCTTGTCACACACATCACCTATGACCGGATTATCTCTTGGGAGATCTCAGTCAATCGGTGGATCCATGTGACTTCCCCCTGTTTTTGAGGGTGGGTGACTCGAAGAGGAAGTTTGGGAGGGTCAAAAACTATGGGAAATTCACAGATTTGTTCTGTGTGAACCCGCCCACATCATCCCTGATTTGAGATGTAAAATTCCAACAAATAATTGTCAGACAAGTCACATGGAAAACAGCAAGACAAAACAGTTGAGAATTTACAAGCAGAAACAAAACGTTTCCCAAGATTTGTTTTCCGCTGTTTTATTTGTTTTGGTTACCTTTGTACGACCTTGTGCGCTTCGTTCCTACGCTGTGTTGAAAAGACAAGGCTTCCATGGTACCCATGATTCACCTACGTTTTCACAACACCCAAGGTCGTTTAGAAGGATAACCTCCAAGTTACGGAAGCGCGTAATAGGACGCCTCGACAAACTCGTCGGTATTTTTTTTGCTCAAACGAATATGTGAAATGACTGGACATGCCAAATGACTGAAAGAACGATGCTGCACGGATCTCTCTTTGTCATGCCTGGTCGGGGGAGCGATCACAAGGTTTGCTGGTGACTTGTCATGTTTCCTTTGAAGTCATCTTGTCACACACATCACCTATGACCGGATTATCTCTTGGGAGATCTCAGTCAATCGGTGGATCCATGTGACTTCCCCCTGTTTTTGAGGGTGGGTGACTCGAAGAGGAAGTTTGGGAGGGTCAAAAACTATGGGAAATTCACAGATTTGTTCTGTGTGAACCCGCCCACATCATCCCTGATTTGAGATGTAAAATTCCAACAAATAATTGTCAGACAAGTCACATGGAAAACAGCAAGGCAAAACAGTTGAGAATTTACAAGCAGAAACAAAACGTTTCCCAAGATTTGTTTTCCGCTGTTTTATTTGTTTTGGTTACCTTTGTACGACCTTGTGCGCTTCGTTCCTACGCTGTGTTGAAAAGACAAGGCTTCCATGGTACCCATGATTCACCTACGTTTTCACAACACCCAAGGTCGTTTAGAAGGATAACCTCCAAGTTACGGAAGCGCGTAATAGGACGCCTCGACAAACTCGTCGGTATTTTTTTTGCTCAAACGAATATGTGAAATGACTGGACATGCCAAATGACTGAAAGAACGATGCTGCACGGATCTCTCTTTGTCATGCCTGGTCGGGGGAGCGATCACACAAGGTTTGCTGGTGACTTGTCATGCTTCCTTTGAAGTCATCTTGTCACACACATCACCTATGACCGGATTATCTCATGGGAGATCTCAGTCAATTGGTGCATCCATGTGACTTCCCCCCTTGCTTGAGGATCCACCCTACGTCATTTCCATTCCAGGTTGCCTGGGGAAACGGTGCACCATCCACTATTGAGGTGAACAGTTCAGCTGGCAGGCTGACGTCACCTCCAAGGATGCAATGCGCTCATACCACAAATAGCATGGCATAGCGCCTTCCAAACAGGAGCAGGCATGGGCCATACGAAAAAGTGGGTCGGATGGTGACCTCCCTTTAATCAAGCAGTAACGGCAGGGTTCGTTGTCAATAAAAAGAATTGCCCGTCTCACATGCAAGAGGTGTCTCATCCGCCACCTCACACACACAACCGCATACATCTCAATCTGGCAAATAAGCTGTTCTCCTACCAGACTGTGCCAGGCATCCAGCTAAAAGTTGGGTACTTTGCCAGCGTAGCATGCCCTGGTGTGGGTGACAGGGTCAAAGAGAATGGCACCCCAATCTGCAAGATCTTCTCCAAAAGCACCATCGGTGTAAATGATGATCGGTAGAGTCTCATCTGCAGTAGCAATTCTTCTCGGCTGAAGAGACTTGAGGACCATCAACGCATGCTCACATAAGTCTGCAAAGGCCGTAGGTCGGAGCTCCAAGCCCGAGGCAAGGGAAGAGAAACCCTGTGCTGATGGCTGTAAAGCCTTGCCCAATGCAAAACCCGATGCAAAGTTCAGGAGCCCATGCACTGATGCCGCCACGGTGCAAGACACCTTTCCATCGCATGCCGCTTGCTGGATCATTCGTTCAATTCTCTGGAGGCGTTCTGGTTTGTTGCCCACCGTGAAAAAGGAGTCATGCAGGCTAGCTAACCCCCAAAGCAGCAAAAGTTGAAGCAAAGTGCTTGGCCTACTTGCCTGTCACCGCATGCCTCCAGCCTAGCAGCTGGAAGAAACCTGACACCACTTGGGTGGTGTTCTCAGCAGCCTTCGCAAAGTGGGGTAGTCATCGTAAAAAATTGTTGTTACCACCCCAAAGTCCTGCCAAAGTAGAAACTGAAGCGCCCTAGCAGTCTTGTTGAAGCTGTAAACGCTAGCAGTCGAACCGAAGGGGAGTGACTGGCCTATGTAGAAAAACCACTGGCCTTTGCTGTCTCTAGCCCCTAGCACAGAGTATTTAAGGCTGGCCTTGCTCACTGCCAGTTGTTTGTAGGCCTTGGACAAGTCGAAGCACCGGCCCACGAGGGCTTCCTGGGCCCTAACAGTGCGGAGACATGTGGTCCACAACTAAGCAGGTTCATCAAAAGGGTTACCAAAGCAGCCAGGACATCAACATCTTGTAACTCCAGGTATGAACGCGAAGCAAAGGCTGAGTTCACATGGCTTCTGCGGTAATCGTCAATTATACGTTCTTTGCCATCCTCTCCTTGTATGAGTAAAAAGCGCTTGGTCAGCGTCCAACACTCCGTGCCCAGTTCAGCGGACACTGCATCCTCCGAGAAAAATGGCCCCTTGAGGAAGCTCTCATCCACCTCTTCCTGTGACAGTTCAACCAGCCTATCAGTATGTTCACGCTCATGGTCTGCAAGGGGTCGGCCTATTACAAGTTGCCTATGTAGCTGTGCCGAAAGATCCAGCTGTCCAACGGTCATTGTCTCTGGTTGGCTGCGGCTTTTCTTTGAAGAGCTCAGAGAAAGGCTCCTCACCTACCAAATCAACCCCCTCCACAAAATCACGCATGGCTTGCATGTCGGGAAAAGAATTGGCTTTCAAACGTTCTTCAAAAAGTAAAAGGCGTTTGCCCTTGATAACACCCTGAACATGAGCTGGCAGCTTTTTGTGCAACTCGGATTCAGCCTTACGCAAGTCTGCAGCTCTATCTCTGTAAAGCTTCAGCATTTCCAACCTTTCTCTGGCAATTTCCGCAGGTTCCTTGGTGATCATGTTGAACAGGGCTTTCTTGAGAGGGTCTGGCAGCACGATTGTTGAATCCATTGGGTGAAGGAGCTGCAGGGCTCTTGCAATGTGAGCCCCAGGTTCCATAGAGATGCCCACCTTGACACCAGTCTCCACTGACTGCTCTGCTGCAGCCACCTCCAATTCTTCCCCGGTGGCAGAAGTTTTTCGTTGGCGGCGGGCTTGGCATTGTTGGCAAGCCACCGAGAAGCCACAAAGTCTGGGATCAATTGTTGAAGTGCTCGATGTTGTCGGCCTTGCGCTTGAAGGCTGTCCAGGCGGAGCTGTTTGAGGTTCAGAAACGGCCCTGGCGGCCAAACGCCGTGCTAACAGTGCTGGCTATTCGGGCTTCAGCCGCTGTGTCAAAAACCCAGCCCCGGCCATCCAACTTCTTGGCCGACCACAATTCATGGCGGTGAGAATTGTTGCAGCGCACCGCAAGGGAGTTGAAAACACCTGGGAACCCAAAAATTGTAGTGCTCTTGTTGCGGGAAGAGCCACGCATGCACGCATCAAACATCGTGGCTTCCAGTGAAAATACCAGGTAATGAAGCCCTCATCCATGGTTTGTTTGGCCAACACTGCTAAAAGTGGCCCTAACCAGCTGCGGGCAGGGTTCTCAATGGACACGATGCATTGGAGCAGGTAGCATGTCATGAGCAAGGTGATGGCATGCCTGCTGTGTTGGCTTTCTCTACCTTCAGTTTGTTGGTGGGTGACATGTTGGGTCGCCCAAACAAGCTTCACTCACCTCGCAAGGGACGAGGCTCTGGAGCCCCTTGCTGGCGCAGTGTCTTTGAGAATGAATGCTCTCTGGCCCTGCTGCATGTTCCACACATCCAAAATGGACTGCGTCAGGTTCTGCAAGGACTTTCCTTTGTTTTGAGCCAAACTAGATAAAATCTAGATCCCTCACTATATAAAAGCAAACAAACATACAAACATATACAACGCGTTATATATATATATATACATATAATTTGAATATCTCCATAATCAAATAAACTAAACACAAAACATTCACATCACATGTCCCTCGCACGACATCTGTGTAAAACGTTTGGTCACTCTTTCTTCTTTTTCATCTGCTGGATTTCTAAAAACATCTTTTCTAACCACAACGCCTGCGGAGTAAGCGCTCATTCACATCCATGCTTGTTGCATGACAGAACTCTTTGGCTAAACTGAGGTTTCAGTTTTGGAGTAGTTTTCAACTAGCAAACTGCCTATACAACCGGGCTGAGTCCAAAGTACAAAACTCTATACCCCGCCTTTGGGTAGTGAGTAGGCTTTACTCATTGCCCAAACTAGAGTCTATTCCTACGGAAATAAACAACCTAGTTTCAACCATTCAAATCCAAGTGGACATCTGGTATGTCCCAAAGCAGTAGGGCCTTGGATTTATTGCAACCAAACAGCTTGTGGTTTCTATTGCTAAGGTCTATTGCGACCATTCCATGTGAAACGCCATCAAGGAGATCGCGTTAACTCCTTGCATAGCTTTGAAGTCTCTCATCATCCTCTTTCAAGAGGCTCATTTCTCACAGTTTCACTTTCTTCTTCCAAGTAAAGCTGAAAGTCCATTGCAGGGGCTACCAAGTATTGCTCACCTTGGATTTCCTGCATTCTCGCATCGTATAGTTGCTGCCACAATTCCTCATCTGAGGCTTCATGTTTCTCGCATAGGCTATATCTGTGCTTCTTCTCCTCAAACGTTTCAGGTGATTCTGGGTCAGAAGCCATTTCATCTGACTCACCACGTTCATAATCACCTGCATGCTCACTCTCTGGTTCTGCTCGAATGTCATGTCAGTATCCAGGGTCAGAGACATCATCAAGTTCTGACCTCATGTAGCGGTCGTGTCGACCTTCTTCTGTTTCCACTACTTCTCCATTTTCAGCTTCTTCTTCCATTCGACGTATCTGATCTGCAGCTATGTCAAAAGCTCGCACTCCTTGTTCACATTCTCGCATCACTGTCTCTTCTGAGCACATATACCTTGGTGAGTACTCGTCATCGGTGAGGTCTGTCATTGACCTGACATTGTCAATCATATTTTCTCGATCTTCAGCACTCAAACCTTCCATGCATAGTTTGAGCATCTGTTGTAACCCACCTTTTCTCATATTGTTTGTAAGAATGCGGTTGCCTCTTACAATTCTCTTTCCAGCTCGAACACACATCCAGTATAGCATCCCTTCAGGACGAAAATCATCACCTGAGCACACGTTTGGATATTTCATCCCTAGGCTTCTCGGGTTCGAAGGGTACCTGCTTGTTGGAGGCTCTGCACCAGGCTCCAAATCAAATCGTGACCTTGATCTGGACCTTGCTTCTGCTGAACCTGCGCTTGGTCCTGATCCCGAACTGGGGTTCATGTGCACGAGGAGGAGGACTGCCATGAGGAAGAGAAGGATTATGGAGAGAATATTCATTGGGCTCCATGTGCCGTGCCACCAGCTCAAGGCGTTCGAAACACCATGTACCAGCTGTGCCACGTTGGCAATTCCATGCCCTTCAGCCAGACTCATCACACTGAAAACCGAAAGCGCACGCAAAAATTGCTTGGCCATTCTGTTGGTTCTACTGGTTTTGAGCTGACCGGTTTGTTCACTGAAATTTTCACTGACCATATTCACTTGTTGTTTCAACATCTCTTTTGCTTGAACTCGTGTGAACTCTGTTTCGCCTACTTTCTCACCACTGCAAACAAAACCCAACATGTGAAGTAGAAAAAGGTGTCTGTCCTTGGCTAACGACTTGGTGTTGAGGTCTGCAATGTTGTAGAGCGTTTTCACCTGTTTAATACAAAGATCACCACTAAGTACTTTAGCTTGAAGCCAAAGGAGCCGCCCTTTGATATGTCTCAATCTCCCAGCACCAAGTTTGTTGGATAGCATCTTCACCGCTGAGCTGTCAGTGTGCAAAATAACGGGTCCTACTTCATCATCAGTCAGGAAGGAGAGAATATGATGGAGGAAGAGGGAATCGCAAACTGCTGAAGTTGCCGCATACCACTCAGCTTCTGTGCTACTCAAACTGATACACTTCTGTGTTCTACTTGTTGACCAAATAACAATGCCATTCAAAACATGTACTGCCGCTGATGTTGAACGGTTTGACCAGTCTGAGTCTGAATACGTTTCGATGAGGTTGTTTCGCGTTTCAGTTTCACTTTCATTCCCAAACATGCAACCCTGAAAGCTGCTACCCTTGCTTGTTTTTCTCATCCTCAGTGCAAAGCTCTCGCTGAACTTCATGTAGCCGACAAGACGGCCAAGATCCACCCAAGCTCGCTTTGTTGGGCTTTTCAAGTAGCTTGCCAGACTTTTGGTTGCAAACTGCAAGTCAAAGCGTTCCTGACTCACATACATTGCAATCCCGACCAAAGATCTGAACTCTGCACTCAAAGTTTCAGACAGGGGTTTTTCCATCGCAGCATCAAGGGAGGTCGTTGTAGAGGAAGTGTTGCAAGGTGTCTTGCAAAGCTTCGGAGGCTTTCCATTTGCTTTCGAGTATCTTTCAAACATCGTATGGACATGCTTTTCCTCTGGATACACTGTGATCTCCATGTAGTCTGGTTCCACCACATGAAATCTTTTCAGAAATTCAAACGTTCCACCAGCACGTCTGTCAACCAGTGTTGAGCTCAGCTTGAATTCCTCTTTCAATCCAGGAAGAAAAACATCTGAAAGCCATTGTTGTTCACCCAAAAACAACACATCATCCACATGTAAAACCATCGCACATTTTCTCTGAATCCTCATCACGCAAGGTTGTTCCACACAAATCGTCGCACTGAACTTCTTCTGCAGCACATTGGTGAAATGTTGATACCATAGTTTTGCTGCATCCCTTTGACCAGGGAGACACATCAAAATCACCAATTCCAAATTTCCAATCTTCACAACCCTTGGAACAGGCTGAGGCACCTGAAGAAAAGCGTCTGCCACATCCAAAGTGCCAAGTACTGCGCTTTTGCAAAATCCATCTGACATTGCAAGTGCAGGAAGAAGTTTCACAATTGAGCTGCTGGAAGATGGGCTGTAAACATCTTCACGCACATCCAACCAGTTAAACTCACGTGCAACCAATCTCGATCTGCGTAACCATCCAGGATTCTCTGCAACCAGTTTTCCATTCTCATCATAAATCTTTCTCACCTTTTTCCTCCAAGAACGCACGAATTTTGCACTCAACTGAGTTCCAAGCACACCATTGTAGTTGCTATGCCATTGGATCACCTTCATTCCAAGCAACCTGTCGATTTCAACTGAATCTGCATAGTCGTCAATGCGTTGCAATGTTTCTCCATCAAGCATCGGTTCTAAAGAACTCTGTGGCTGCCACAAATCATCTTCTGTCATCTCACGCTCGAAGTTCTTGTTATCATCATCCCAAATACCACACGTTTCGTCACATGCAGCTTCCATGGAAAATGAAAAATCACCAGTCTCACATTGTTGCAACAACTCACCAGGATTTTCATCCACATGCACAAGAGTCTCTGAACCAACACGCATTGTTGAAAGTCTTGCACGTTTTGCTTCTGGTTCTCCAGTTTCAATTGTTTCACCCAACATTTCAACTTCAACTGTAGTTTCCATACCAGGAGTCACTGGTCCCGGCACTTGTAAGCTGGGTGCTGGTTGCCCCGCCTGCTCGACACCCTCATCTGCAAACGTTCTTTGCTCTGCAGCTTCAAGTTGGGAAACATCTGGAGTTGGAGGAACTGTTGCCGGCGCACTAACAACTGCTGTTGGAGGAGGTGGCAATCTACGCATGCTAGTTGCAACTGGTACCAAATCATCAATTGCACAAGGTGGTAACTCGTCATCTTCTGGGTCTTCTGCAGCTTCGTCATCCAAACCTGGGACTGCAGTTGCTGATACAAGTTCACCTCGCACAACAGGAAATGTACGGCTACCAATTGCACCTTCCAATTGCCATGGAAATGTCAGCACTTGTCTGTACTCCTCCAAGTGTTCATTCCAATTTGGATACAGCATTTTGATTGACCTTGAAAGTCTGAGCGCACCGCCAACTGCTGTCAAAAACATGTCGTTTGACAAAGTCTTTGTAAGAAAAATTCCACGTTGCCATTTTGCATCACCCTTTTGTTGAGTTGTATCACCAACATAAACCATCACAGGACATGCATAGGCACACAGTTTAGCATTGTATGTATGGCCAGAAATGAGCTCAAACGGTGTTGTTCCAGCCTTCACAGTGAACCTTGTCAATGTCCATCCAGCATGGGTAAACGCCCACGCAAACAAAGGATGTTGTGGCAAAATCTGGAATCCAATCTTTGCAGTCAACGCATGAAGAAAAACTGAGGCTTGGTTTCTGATCCTATCAATGGCTTTTTCAACTGCTGAATTGCTTCCATGATCTCCAACCTTGGCATCTTCCACAACTGTACGCAAGTTGAGACGTTGTCGAGCACGTTGAACCATTTTCTGTATCTGCAAAGTTGATGGTTCCTGGTCACAACGCAACATCACCACACTGTAGCCAAGAAAGGTTATGAAGCGCATGATCTCCTGGCTCATGTATTTGATTTGACTCTTATGTTGTACCGGTATGCAATGAACTGCACCACTGTGGGAATCATGCACAACCAATGCAGTAAGTTTGGACTGCTTTGCATCTTCTGTCAAACCTTCACAGCTTTTTCCAGTGTAGCAAAAATCCCAAGAAATAATAGGATGTTCCCTGCGCACCAACTTCGAAGGGTCTGAACGGTGTTGTTCAGGTTTTCCTTTTGCCATCACGCATGCTGGACACCAAGCTTGGTAAGGTAGGTGTGTCAAGTTATGTAACTCAATCTCTGCAGGATCATCTGGAGGATTTGCAACTTGCACTGAATCAGCTTTTCTCTGAGATTCATCTAAGGCCACTGCAGCAAGTTCCGTTTCTGCCAAGATTGCCTGTTTATCCAACGTTCCAAGAATTCTCCTCCAAAGTTTTTGTTTGCTACCTGCTTGACTAACCTGCAAAAATGAACACGCAGCTTTGAGAACAGCAATTGAGGAGTTCCAGAAAACTTCAACACCTGCAATTTTCACCATTGATCTGTCAGCTTCAGCCGCAACAGTCTGAGGTAATGCTGGTCCATCCATTTGAACGTCAGGTTGTTCTTGTCGTTGAGGTTGAACTGCAGCAGGAGGATTGTTGTTGCCATCACCTGCAACAGGTCTTGCATTGGAACCACCTGAACCTGATGACCTCTCACGTCCATCACCTTCTGTATAAACTGCATCTGAAATCACCATGCCAAATTGACTCACTGTAAGAACTTCCTTGGAAAGAACTGTCAACAGTCTTGCATAGTTTCCAGTGATGGGCGCCGCACGATCGTCCATGTTGAAGAGTTTCTCACAAAGTTCAATCACTTGCCAACCCTGTGTGTCGTGGTATGCAACTGTGGTCCTGTATGGCCAATCTGTCACCAGATATCGTGTTGTGGCATCAATGAAATGCACTGCATTTGAACTGCACACTTGAAACCCATCAAATGCATACCAACCCTCAGGTAAATTGAACCAAGATCTGGGCACGTCCACACTGATTGTACGCACATCTTGAACCATACGTACATCACCTGCAAGAACCAATGAATTGTTCCTGAACGGAAGTTCAACTTTGGCACCATTTTTATGAGAAAGTAATGGAGGCCCTGACATGTCTGAGCTTTCAATGCTCCAACCAGTTTTCAACAACTTGCCAAATGAAATCA